AAAACCAACTCTAGCCTAATTTTCTTCATACAACCCCCTGCTTCCATTTGCAGGCACAGACCCAGTCACTACAATGTATTGAGCCAACAGAGCCCAGCCTGGCGCCACAGCCCAGCAGGGAAGAAATGGAGACTAAGGATAGCAGGTTTCCCCTATCATCCTTGGCCTTAGTTGCACCTCCCTGAGGTGTCGTCCTGTCAGCACTGACCAGTGAGCTCACCTCCCTAACCATCTCAAGCCCCATTCGGAACATCAACAGTCCAATCATTCTGTGCCCTTCTCTGTCTTTTGGGATTAAAGGCATGCACCACCACTGCCCAGTTGTACCCCTTTCTTAATATCCCCAATATCACCAGAGAAACACTACCACTCTATCTCAGCTCCTGCTAGACACAGCAGTTAAGAGCTGATCTGGTCAGAGTGGTAGGAGTCAAAAGACAGTCAGGGGCTGGAGAGAAGTTCAGTGCTTATGAGTGCTTACTCTTATAGAGGACCCAGGTTCTAGTCCCGCCAACCACATGGCAGCTCACAATCATCTGTAACTCCACATCTAGGGGATCTGATGCCCTCTTATGGCCTCTGTGGCATCAGCCACACATGTGGTGCACAGATTTACATGCAGACAAAACACCCATATACATAAATAACTTTTAAAATAGCAATAGATAAGGTGACGGGAGCTGTAAAGCAGCCAAAAGAGTCAAAGTTAGGATTCCATGGCCTCTGGAAAAAAGTCAGTGAGAGAAAGGGGTGCAGTGAACAGCAGCAGAGCGTGAGCAGGCCCATCCTGCTGGGAGCAGACACAGACCTGGAGCAGCAAGCCCTGTTCTGAGGCAGAGCTGCCTGGAGCAGGACAGAGGCAGAGGCACTGATTCTGTGAGTAGCTGAGGAGAGATCAAGGAGTGGAGTCAGAGGAAAGCACAGATGCTGTTTGTTCTGGGCTCATCACAGAACCAAGCGCTGTGCCCCAAACGGCCCTGATCACCCTGTGTCCCCCAATTCAACTCCACAAATTCCAGAATGGAGACCACAGAGCTCACACTTGACAGCATTCCTAGCTGGATTAGGCTCTCAGCCTAAACCGTTCTTGGCACCCTGTGTGCTAGACAGAGTTAGAAAGAGTTGCCTAGAGAAAGACTGAAAGTTACTCTTCTAACTCTACAAACACAGAAAAACCACAACTCTATGAATATGGCACAATCCTTAAATCACGTATAGCCTTCTCATTTCACACAGAAGCATAATAGGCCCAGCTCATTCAAGTTATCTCCTCTCTCTCTCTGTCTCTCTCTCTTTCTGTGTGTGTGTGTGTGTGTGTGTGTGTGTGTGTGTGTGTGTGTACATTCATGAGCATGTGGAAGCTACAGGATGCCATCAGGTACCTTCCTTAGTCATTTTTCCAGACAGTACTTGCCAAGCTAGCTTACAGAGATCTATGGGCAACTGCCATGCCTTAGTCGTCATACTTAGGTGTCAAGTCCTTGACCTAATAAACTATCTCCTCGGTTTCTCAAGGAGCCCTTCTAAAAGCAAGACTGTCAGAGGTAGCATGAGAACCCAGGCCTAGGGACTCCTCATCCATTCTACACTCCTAAGTATATGGTCTCAAGAAGCAATCCCCTAGAAATACTCATCAGCATGAAGGAGACACGAGAGACTGCTGTGTATTTACACAGCCTAGCATGATGACAGTTCTTCTCTGAATACCTGCCATGTGAGCCAGCAGTAAGTAAAGTGCCGAATTGTCACTTGTTCATAAATTTTCCCCTTCAGAGATTATCAGCCACACCCTAGATCCTACCTAGTACCTCTGGTAGGCACTAAATTCCTAGCTTATAGCAACCTAAGGTAGGATGGCACAAAAGACTTCCTAAACAGACTATAGCTCTATATCTTATTATGGGCCACTACATTTTGAGAGCCCATCCTTCCAAACCCAAAAACTCACTCCTCTAAGTTCTTTTTTTTTTTTTTTTTTTTTTTTTGGTTTTTCGAGACAGGGTTTCTCTGTATAGTCCTGGCTGTCCTGGAACTACTCTGTAGACCAGGCTGGCCTTGAACTCAGAAATCCGCCTGCCTCTGCCTCCCAAGGGCTGGGATTAAAGGCCTGTGCCACCGCTGCCCAGCCCTTCTAAGTTCTATAAGCATATGCAACTTCCTTTGTTTTGTGTGTTGGTTGCTGCAGAATCTTCTACCCCAACCTCCTGTGTAAGAGTGCAGGGTATTTCACCTGAAATCTGTCTCAGAGCCTCTCTACAGAACCTATACAGAGTCTGTTTTGGTTTTTTTGAGGCAGGATCTCACCATGTAGCCTTGGCTGGCCCAGAACTCACAATGTAGACCATGCTAGCCTTAAACTCTAGGCTTACACTACCACACATAGGAAGAATATCTATTATAGGGGCTGAAGAGATGGCTCAGAGGTTCAAAGAGTTCTGGCTGCTCTGTGGAGGACTCAAGTTTGGTTCCAAACATCTATAGTCTGGTTGAAACCACCTGTAACTCCAGCCGTCATTACTGCTCTCCTCACACAAGCACATACAGGCACAGACACACAACAATAAAAAGAATTCTCACAGGTAATTCACCAGTGGTCCAACCTCACTATTCCCAAGACTAAGAAGGGAACAGAGTGCTAACTGTTGTCAGTCATGCTTGGAACAGTGGAGATTTCAACTAGTCTAGTGACAGATTAATCCAGCCTGCCCACCAGGAGACTTGGGCATCTTCTGAACTGTATTCAAACACACTTGGGCATATACTGCCTATGGCACGGTGTGGTTCCCACATACTGACTTGAACTATAAGCCTCACAGGACAAAGAAAAGGTCTGAACTTGGGCCACATGTTCTACTGTCTCTACACCAAGGATTCTAAGGGGCACTCTGGTTGACTGAACCAAGGATTCAGTCAAAGATGCCCCAGGCCTTTGTATACTGCAACACCTTGAGTTTTCTTTCTCTTTTTGGCAAGCTGTCACTGCTATGAGAATGAGGATACAAGGGCGGTGGCACACACCTTTAATCCTAGCACTTGGAAGAAAAAGCAGGGAGTCTCTGAGTTCAAGGCCAGTCTGGTCTACCAAGTGAATATCAGGACAGCCAGGACTACCTGGTGAAACTTTCTTGAGTAAAAGAAAACAATAAAGAAAAAAGAAAAACTTTCTATAGACTAATCCGAGCAGACAGGGGCAGAGACAGGTGGATCTCTATGAGTTCCAGACCAACTAGAGATACATGGTGAGACCCTGTCTCAAAATAAAAGCACCAAGGGTTCAGTCAAAGTACTGATTGGATTCCTCTGCTTCTGGAGTTTCCTGATTAATTATCTGCATGAGGCACCAAGAAGCCTCAAGGGTAGAGGAAGAAGAGGTAAGCAGACAGGAAAACACCAATCCAGTAACACAACCTTCATTTCATACGATCAAATTCTAGGAAAAGAACAGTGGCTTTCTAAAAACTCCACTGATTCACAGCAACGGACATGTCTTTTAAAAAGGTCTCACACTGCACTGGATTTATCTGCAATGAAAGGTATTGAAGTTTGTGGGTTTCTCTCTCTCTCTCTCTCTCTTTTTTGGTTTTTCAAGACAGGGTTTCTCTGTGTAGCCTTGGCTGTCCTGGAACTCACTTTGTAGACCAGGCTGGCCTCGAACTCAGAAATCCACCTGCCTCTGCCTCCCAAGTGCTGGGATTAAAGGCGTGCACCACCAACGCCCAGCTGGGTTTGTTTCTTGTAGTACTGGAGACAAGACTGAACTTGGAAAGCACAGAGCTAAATCCTCACCCTCTTCCCCCATAAGGGAACACCTGCAGGGCCAACTGCCACCAATGTCTAGGGCTTAAAATTCCTCAAGATCTGAATGGCCTTTCACTAGAACAAGATATCCCAGCAGCTAAATGTATTAATAAATGTAAATTCAGGATTTCCAGGTAGATACCTGGAGCATAGGCAGATTAACTGAAATGAGCTCCAATTGTCTTCAGTTACCTTTTGAGGAGTCCTCACCAAGAGCTGTCCCTTTAGGTGCGATGGGTCTGTCCCAGCGTCCTTCCAGTCAGAACTGCTGCCACTCTGCGGAAGCGCTATCTTGCCTTGAGTCGGTGGTTCGGCCAGGGCTACCAAAGTTCCTTCGTTCTTTCCGAAACCAGCATTGGGTTTTTTCCCTCTGGCAAGGCAAAGAACATGAGTTAAGGAAGCATCTTTCCAGCATCGCGTCCTTGCCCGGGCTGCGGAACACTACGCAACATTAAGGTGAAGGGTGTCCAGGCTCGTGCCCTCTTGCCAGCATTTGCCCTTCGCCCTCCGATCTTCACTCATACACCATCCTTACCCTCTCTCGGCTCAGTTTTCCCCTTCTCTCCACACGTGACGAACCCACGACTTTGCGATAGTACTTAAGACCTTCACCAAAGCCCACACTGAGAGGCTCACCCCATCCCGCCCCTCCCAGTCCCGCCTCTCCCGGCCCGAGGCGACTGAACCCAGCCCCTCGGGCCCTGCCCAATCCCCGCCTCGCCCGGCCCACCCTACACCCGCCCGGCCCACCTTCGGGACCTCCGCACGTGGGTAGCTGGCCCGCCGGCCAGCCCGGCCCGGCTCGCAGCGCCCGGCTCGGTGACAGCAGGACCCCGCCCCCCGCCCGCCCGGGTCGCCGCGCCGCCATGTTTACTAAGGGCAGATAGAGCTGCCCGGGCGTCCGCGGCGGACTGAGGGATCTTGCAGTAGCTCAAGGCAACTAAGCGCTAACTGGACGGGCCTAAAGATAGAATGGCGAGATGGTGGGTCTGTCCACCACGAGCAAGCGCAGAGGAACGCGGACTTGAGTCCAGAATTCCGCCAGCAGATTGAGCACTCGGGCAAATCGTGCGGCGCTCTACGGCGCGTGCAGGGGCGGACTAGGCCACGCCCCAGAGTGACAGGATTTGGAAGCTAAGCCGCGTCTCGAGGCGGAGGCGTGACGCGCTGGGGGCGGAGCCTTGCGCTCAGCTCTCGCGAGCTGTCAAGGTGGAAAGCAGTGGAAAATGGCGTCTCGGGAGCCGGGCAGTTCTGTGAGCCCGCTACCTTGGGCGGCTGGCCTGCTCCTGGTTCTGTGCATGGAAAGGGCCCTGGCTCTACCTGAGGTACAGAAGAAGGCTGAAGAAGGTTGCTGGTCGTCAGCCTGGAGTCGATCTCGCCCGCTGGTGTCCGTCCCTCTGGCCAGGCCGAAGCTGATTTTGTCCCTGAAGCTTCCCCTAGCCCTGTGCCTGCGGGAATCGTGCTCCTGAGTACTCATGTAGTGCTGGCCACTAGCACCTTCGCCCTGCCCACATTCAGAGACCTTTGAAATTTGATCTCCTTGCTTTTTGAATAACTTTAGATTGTTCTTCCCACTCCAGAGTCCCATGGTTCTTCTGCCAGCTACCATTGCACGAATGCTGTGCGTAGTGCAACGGCACGACTATATATTGTGATGCTTGAGTACGCTGTGTACCTGCAGCCCTTTAACACTTGCCAAACCATGCCTGTCAGGTGGAGAAGTCTCTGGAGAGGACATAATGTAGTCCAGTAATGATTCTCAAACATGAGGATCTTCTCTCGGCACTTGTACAGTGCGCTGATTTGGTGCGGGGTACAAGGGAAAGAAATGGGCTCTGTTTATAAATGGCACCTTTCCGCTTTGCATTATGGGATTTCTAGAAAGGCTGACACTCTTGATCCTTGTTTGTTCTTTTTTTTTTTTCTGGAGTCTTAATCAGGTTTCTTTCTCTTCTACAGATATGCACCCGGTGTCCGGGAGGTGTGCACAATTTGTCCAGAGTAGCTGCTTACTGTGAGGCTACATCGAAGCTAATACAGGCCCGATGCTGCCTGAATCAGAAGGGCACCATCTTGGGGTGAGGGAGGAGAAGACATCCTTGGATATTCAAAAAGAGTTCCCAGACTGGAGTCTACAGGCTTGCCTAGCAGGCTTTGGCGATAAATAATAGTACCTAACTGGAGACATTTAATGCTTGATTCTAAAACGTTTAGGTGTGATGTAGTATTTTTTTTATAGGTAAATGATCTCTTGGTTTTTTTTTCCCTGGGTGACAGATCATAGTTTTTGCCATTTTATAGGCTTTTGTGGCATCATTTAAAAATAGTGTTTGTTTGTTTGTTTTTCGAGACAGGGTTTCTCTGTGTAGTCCTGGCTGTCCTGGAACTCACTCTGTAGACCAGGCTGGCCTTGAACTCAGAAATCCGCCTGTCTCTGCCTCCCAAGTGCTGGGATTAAAGGCGTGTGGCACTACTGCCCGGCTAAAAATAGTTTTATTATTAAGTCTTTGTATTATTATTTTTACCAAAATACATTTAATTTTTCTTCATTTTTTGTTTTAATTGTGTGTGTGTGTGTCTGTCTATTTGTCTGGGTACATGCACTTGAGTGCAGGTGCTAGAAAAATCCAGAGGCCTTGGATCCCCCTGGAGCTGGAATGACAGGCGGTTGTGAGAGGCCCAGTGTGGGTGCTGGGGACTAGACTCAGGTCTTCTGCAGGAGCAATACCCGCTCTTAATTGCTAAGCCATCTTTCCAGCCCTTAATTTTTTTTTGTTTTTGTTTTTTCGAGACAGGGTTTCTCTGTGTAGCCCTGGCTGTCCTGGAACTCACTCTGTAGATCAGGCTGGCCTGGAACTCAGAAATCCGCCTGCCTCTGCCTCCCAAGTGCTGGGATTAAAGGCGTGCGCCAACACCGCCCGGCCAGCCCTTAATTTTTTTTTTTTCTGTCTTCTTATTGTTGTTCTGGGTACTAAGGAATGAACCTGGGACCTTGTGCAAGCTACCTTTTTTTGGATTCACTTTTCCTTTTGTTTTTTTTTTTTTTTTGAGACAGAGTCTTTCTATATAGACCTGGCTATCCTGATACTATGTAGCACAGGTTGGCCTAAACTCATATCATTCATGTTACAACCTCCCAAGTACTGGGTTTGCAGGAGTGAGCCATCACATCTGGCTCTTTTCAGTATTTTGACACATGATCTCATTAAATTGTCCACACTAACCATGAACTTGTGGTCCTCCTGCCTCAGCTTCCTGAGTACCTGGGATTACAGGCTTGCAACTAGGCCATATACTAACATATATTTTATAATGCTATGATTTTTGTAGTTTGTAGACACTCAGTTAATGAAAAAAAATGTGTTGAAGTCCTTTTTGTTTGTGTGTTTTTCATTTATTTATTATGTATACAGTGTTTTGCCTACATGTATGCCTGCAGGCCAGAAGAGGGCACCAGATCTCATTAGAGATGGCTGTGAACCACCATGTGGTCGCTGGGAATTGAACTCAGGACCTTTGGAAGAGCAACCAATCAATGCTCTTAACCTTTAAGCCATCTTTCCAGCCCCGTTGGTTGGTTTTTCTTTTTCTTTTTTCTTTTTTAAGGTTTTTTTATTTAGATCTCATTGCAGATGGTTGTGAGCCAGTATGTGGTTGCTGGGATTTGAACTCATGACCTCTGGAAGAGCAGTCGGTGCTCTTAACCACTGAACCATCTCTCCAGCCCATTGGTTGGTTTTTCAAGATAGGATTTTTCTGTGTACCCCTGGCTATCCTGGAACTCCTGTAAACTAGGCTGGCTTCAAACTCAGAGATCTGCCTGCCTCTGCCTCCCAAGTGCTGGGATTAAAGGTATGTGCCACCACCCAGCTTTAAGCCCTTAATGTATAGACATTTACAATTAACTGTGGTAGAAAATCTACTTGGGAAAAACTAAGTGATCTGCTTTTTGGGTTTTTGTTTTGTTTTGTTTTTCGAGACAGGGTTTCTCTGTGTAGCCCTGGCTGTCCTGGAACTCACTCTGTAGACCAGGCTGGCCTCGAACTCAGAAATCCACCTGCCTCTGCCTCTCTGCACCACCAACGCCCCCGTGATTTGCTTTTTTTTTTTTTCTTTCATTTAAAGCCTCTGTGGCTGGGCCTGGTATGCATTTGTAATTTCAGTACTTGGGTAGTATCAAGAGTTCAAGTTAACCCTCAGCTACTTAGTGAATTTGAGGCTAGCTTGGGTTACATTGAAACTTGTCTCAAAAAGAAATTATCTCTGTGGGGATGCTGATCATTGTCTCTAATCCCAGCATTTGAGAAGCTGAGGCAGGAGGATTGTTACTAGGTTGAGACTAACACAGATTGTCTCAAAGTCGGCCTGGTGTGGTGGCACACATCTTTAATTCTAGCTCTCAGGGCCAGAAGGAGGCAGATCTCTGAGTTTGAGCCTAAACTTGTCAACAAAGTGAGTTCCAAGACACAGGGGCTATACAAAGAAATCCTGTCTCAAAAAAAACAAAACAAAATCTCTGTCTGTGGCTTGGTGATAGAGGACTTGCCTCAAATGCACAAGGCCCTGGGTTCAATCTCCAGCAGCAACAATAACTTCTGAGTGTAAGGATTTCAGTATGAGACCTAGTGATCCTGGAGGAAAAAAAAACACACACAAGATTTCTTCCAATATTTGTACAATGCATAGCTATACTGATTAGAACTGTGTGACCCAGGGCTGGAGAGATGGCTTAGCAGTTAAGAGTACTGACTCCTCTTCCAGAAGTCCTAAGTTCAATTCCCAACAACCATATGGGGGCTCACAAGCATCTGTGATGGGCTCTGTTGCTCTATTCTGGTGTTTCTGAAGATAGCCACAGTGTACACATGTAAAGAGCTACAGTGTACTCACATAAAATAAATAAGTATTAAAAACAAAAAACTGTGTGACCCAATAGAAGTTCCTGTTGCTGATTGAAATGCTACATATCTGTACTGGTCAGCACAGGATCCATGCATTCGAAGTATTGCTTTTGAGAATGAACTTGTATTTTAGGTAAATTAAGATGTGTACACGTAGCAGGACTAACTAAATTGGCTAATACATGATTACAAGGTCTACTAGCATAGCCTTAATCTTACAGTTCTGAACATAAAGATATTCCATCAATATTAGCTTAAGTAGGGGATGAAAAAGAGACGTAGTTAACACTTTCTTTGTCTCTTCAGGTTAGATCTTCAGAACTGTTCCCTGAAGGATCCTGGTCCAAACTTTTTACAAGCTTATACTGCTATTATCATGTAAGTGGTTTGGTTACGTATTTTCCTAGCCAAAAGATAAATATGGTGATGGGAAATAACTCTCAAGAAGGTAGATTAATATTAGCATCTAACCTTGCACAACTGAGGATAAGGAATGGATTTCTTTTATAATTTTATTTATTTATTTATTTAAAGATTTATTTATTTTACTTATGAGTACAATGTAGCTGTCTTCAGACACACCAGAAGAGGGCATCGAATCTCATTACGGATGGTTGTGAGCCATCATGTGGTTGCTGGGATTTGAACTCAGGACCTCTGGAAGAGCAGTCAGTGCTCTTAACCACTGAGCCATCTCTCCAGCCCAGGAACGGATTAATAGCCCAGGATGGCATGTATAAACACTAACGGCATGCTTCTCCAAACAGAGTGCTAACAGTGTGTACTTTGCAGAGACCTTCAAGCAAATCCTCTCAGGGATGATTTGGCTAACACCTTCCGTGGATTTACTCAGCTGCAGACTCTGTGAGTAATAGAATTAGGGAGAGAGTACCGATGTGCTGAGTGCTCATCCGTATGAGAGTCGCTACTGTTGTGTGTGCGCGCGCGCATGCGCGTGCGAGTATTCGTGGCGCGCGCATGCAGGTGAGAACATAGGTGCCTGAGTAAGTTCGTATGGGCACGTGTGTTAGGGAGTGAACCCATGGCTTTGTGTGTTGTTGAATGTTTGTTCTACTACCAAGCTACACCCCAACCTCTTCGGCTGTGCATTTATGATCATGTACGTTGTCTTCAGGATACTACCACAAGATGTCCGCTGTCCTGGAGGTATTAGTGCCTGGGACAATGTTTCCTCTTTCACGGACAAGCAGATTTGCCAAGGGCAAAAGGACCTTTGCAATAGCACTGGAAGCCCAGGTATGCTTTAGCATGGCCCCCTCACTGGGGAGTGCTTTCCTTCTTTCTAAAGGACAGTTATTCTCTACTTTAGGAAAGTTAACATGCTAAAGTGCCTTTTTGTCCTGTGTTCTCTATTCCCCTGAAAAGGTTTTAATTATTGTTGTTGTTGTATTCTGATTATATATTCTTCTAAAATTGTTGTTGTTGTTGTTTTGATACAGACTTTCTCTGTATAACAGCTCTGGCTGTCCTGGAACTCACTGTGCAGTCTGGGCTGGCCTTAAATTCACAAAGAAGTGCAGGCCTATAATCCCAGCACTTTGCCTCCCTACGTTGCTGATCAGCTTTTCTTCTATTGTTTCTTTTTCTGTTTATTTTCTGAGACAGAGTTTCTCTATGTATTCCTAGCTGATCTGGAACTTACTGTGTACAACAGAACTCACAGAGATCTGCCTGCCCCTGCTTCCCAAATGCTGGGATTTAGATGTTTACCACCATGCCTGGCTTTTCCCTCTACTTTTGACTTACAAATAATTAAGAATCTAAGCAGATTTGAAAAAATACCTAATGAGATCCAATGATCTCTTCCCATACACGTACCCATCAGGCCCAACCCTGTTTAGCTTCTGAGATCAGAGGAGCTTGACTCTTCAGAGTAAATGGCCTTAGACTCCAGTGACTGTTTTTCTCTGGTTCCCAGAAATGTGTCCTGAGAATGGATCTTGTGCATCTGATGGTCCTGGTCTTTTGCAGTGCATTTGTGCTGATGGTTTCCACGGATACAAGTGTATGAGGCAGGTGAGGAACTGGACCTTATAAAAATAAAGGAATGCATTAGGCAAGAACGTCTCAGAAAGAGATACCAGTCGAGAAAGTGATACTGGAGGGGATAGGAAACAAGGGAAGTGCCCAAATGAGGGCATGAGTGACTGAGAAAGAACAGATGTTAGAAAGAGGCCCTGGGTGTCTACACCGCTGTGACTTGTTTGTTTGCTAATCACAGGGCTCATTTTCACTGGTAATGTTCTTTGGGATTCTGGGGTCCACCACGCTAGCCATCTCCATTCTACTTTGGGGAACCCAGCGCCGGAAGGCCAAGGCTTCATGAACCACACAAGACTTCCAGCTCACCTGACTGAGCACCCTGATCGATCGAGTCCCAGCCAGGAAGATTTACTTCGTTGACAAACATGACTGGCTAGTGAGCAGATCTGCTTAAGGCTGAAGCGGCCATTGATAATGAAAGAAGGTGTCAAATTGCACCACCTCGGGGGTCTTGTGGACACTTGGTTCAGGAGTGGACTGGTACTAACTTGTATTATTGACTACAATAAACACCTCCTCTCCCACTGTTTTAGGCAATACTGCCCTACCTGTGCGCGTTTCCAGCTTGACAGGCTGGTGTGGGAGGGTCGGGTTTCTCAGGTCTCCAGGGTTGCGGCTGTGGAACCACCCCATGGTCCCGCCCCTTACGTGCCCGGCCCCGCCTCTCACGCTGCCGGCAGCCTGCGCCGTCGCAGTCGTGCTTCAGCTCACTACGCTTAAGGCTCCAGCTTGCCGCTCCCGCCTGCTCTCCAGCGCCCCGCGCAGCGAGCCACGTGGACCAACTCCGGCGCGCGGTGTTCGCTTGGTTCCAGTGGGGCTCGCCGCGCCTCCCGCGTCTCGGTGCTCACCCTGTCTCAGCTCCGACCCGATGGCGGCCCTGGTGTTGGAGGACGGGTCGGTGCTGCAGGGCCGGCCCTTTGGGGCCGCTGTGTCGACTGCTGGGGAAGTGGGTAAGCAAGCCCGGGCGGGCTGCCGACCCACTCTGCTTAACCTGTCCACTCCGCCTGCACACTCCTCCCCGAGTCGATACCTCCAGCCCCAGCTCCCTTTCACCACTCACACCCGAAGCAGTCATCTCCTCCGGGAATTGCTGCGCTCGGGGCAGTGTTCCGATGGGTGCACTTGCCAGAACTCAGCCCTGCCTTTCTTCAGTGTTTCAGACCGGCATGGTAGGCTACCCAGAGGCCCTCACTGACCCTTCCTACAAAGCTCAGATCCTAGTGCTAACGTACCCTCTCATCGGCAACTACGGCATTCCCTCAGATGAAGAGGACGAGTTCGGCCTGAGCAAGGTAGTCACACCCAGTGCTTTCTCTACATCCCTTCTCAGATCAGAAGTTAACGGTGAAGTGACGACACTGACACTCTGCTAAACATCCTGGAGATAACAGCTGTACATACCAAGGCGACCATGGTTACAGGGTTTTTTAGGTACCTTGAAAGGCAGGGAGCTGAAGACCTCAGGAGTACCCCGCCTGAGAGTGTGTGTAGTGAAAGCATGGTCCAAGGAAAATGGCAGAGGGTTTATGGGAGCAGTTCTCAAAATTGCAAGGAGTACAATTTCTAGTTATTTCATAAGGACCAGCAAAGGATTGTTTTTTGTTTTGTTTTTTTATGGTTTTTTTTTTTTTTTTTTGCTTTTGTTTTTTGAGACAGGGTTTCTCTGTGTAGCCTTGGCTGTCCTGGAACTCACTCTGTAGACCAGCCTGGCCTTGAACTCAGAAATCTGCCTGCCTCTGCCTCCCAAGTGCTGGGATTAAAGGCATGGGCCACCACTGTTGTCTTGTTTTTAAAGTAGTAGAGTCATAGGGGTTAGCAATCCTTTAGGTCCTTAACCTTACTAATTCTGCTACCCTTTTAATACACTGGCTAGCCAGGTGCTCGCTGTGTTAAACCATACGGAAATTACTTTTGCTGCTACTGTTGTAAATCATAATGTAAATGCCTCATATTTCCGATGGTCTTAGGCAACCCCTGTAAAAGAGGTGGTTGATCCCAGAGGGGTTGCAACTCACAGGTTGAGAAACTGGAAACTAGCAGGGTCATATATCCCATCTAAGGCCAGTCGTCAGTTTCTCTACATACCAGTGACATTGGTCACCATCTGGACTCCTTACTTGGCCTCGTTTCATTTTCCACTTCTCAATAGTGTTTACCTCTAGAGAAACTCAAATTTCCTCATATAGTGAGCTTCCCGTAGTGAGCTTCCCCGCCCTCAGGCTGTGAAATCGGGAAACTATATTTGCTTCCGAGTTAAGTGTTAATATCAACACAACCATTAAGATAATAGAAGTCACCATAGCGTAGATGCAATATTCCACAAAACTTGGTTACACCCTTATTCCAGGCTTACAGGGAGGTCTCACTATGTAACCTTGGTTGGCCTGGAACTCTCCAATCTACCTGCCGTTGCCTCTCAAGTTGTGATGTTCATGTGCCCAGCAGATCCTTTATTTTATTATTATTATTATTATTTTTGGAGATAGGGTTTCTCTGTGTATCCCTGGCTGTCCTTGGACTTACTCAGTATCAAGTCTGACCTTAAACTCAGAGATCTGACTGCCTTTGTCTCCTGAGTGCTGGATGAGGGTACACTAATTCCTAGAAAGGATTCCTCATCATAAACCTTTGAATAGCCGCATTTTAGTTTACAAGGCAGTATCTTTTTTTTTTTTCTCCCCAAGACAGGGTTTCTCTGTCTAGCCTTGACTGCCTGAAGCTCATTCTGTAGACCAGGCTGGCCTCACTGGCTTTGCTCAGAGGTCCATCTGCCTCCCAAGCGCTGGGATTAAAGGCATGCACCATCACCTGGCTATATCTTATGAATTTGGTTAATATGTAAGTTGTCAAACCATTGAGACCCCTGACAGAAGCAGGGTGAATGAGTCCTCCTACAGCCCAGCGCATTTGCTTTGCCTGAGCTTGTGTACATGGCTCACTCCGTGTGGGGAGGGCCAGCCGAAGCACCCTGCAGTTCCCTGAAGGCTGCAGCTTAGCTAGACCTTCAAACTCAGAAGCCTCCTGCCTCAGCTTTCCCTGGTGCTGGGATTGCAGGTGAGGCATGGACACTTTTTTATCCTTTTAGGCCATTGTCTCTGTGTGTAGTCCACACTGGCTTCTGGTTTACAGGCTCTGTGTGTGTGTGTGTGTGTTGTTTTTTCAGTGTAGTAGTCCTGGCTGTCTTGGAACTTTCTCTAGACCAGGCTAGTCTCCATTTCAGAGTTCAAGTTAAAGGTGTGCAGGATCGCCATGCCCCACTGGCTTGATTTATTTTAGTGTTCTGAGCAGATATCTTATTACTTTGTTTTGTTTCTGTCACACCTATGTAATTATTACCGTGTTTGTTTATATTACCTTGTTACAGTTTCTGACTCCCTGAGGGGAAAGTTAGCACTATGAAAACAAGGGACCTTACCCTTGCTCACTGCCTTTTCCGACATCTGTTACAAGGTCTGCACCTAGTGAGCACTCAGTAAATGCATGAGGATTTAGTCTGTGTTGTGTGCAAGAACATATTCAAGACACATTGTAAATAGCAATGAAGTGGAAAAAGGTTCATTCTTGGAAGCTAACTTGCAGTGGATATGTAGACATCGGGGTGTTTGGAAAGAGGATTTGTGAGCTAGATTTTGGACAAGTGAAAGCACCATTTTCTGTCCTCTTGGATACACTGGGCCCATATTCAGTGTTTCTTATGGGACAATGCAAAGTTAAAGGACTGTCTGGAAAGCAGGGAGTGCTTGGGATTTTGTAGGAATTACACTCTGCCCTGTGTGGCCAGACAGTGGAGGGACATGCCTTTGAGAGCTAGCTGTCGGTGAGCTAATTCCTCACGGTCTCTTTCCTCCCTTAGTGGTTTGAATCCTCGGACATCCATGTGGCGGGGCTGGTAGTGGGAGAATGCTGTCCCACGCCCAGCCACTGGAGCGCCACCTGCACCCTGCATGAATGGCTGCAACAGCGTGGCATCCCCGGCCTACAAGGTACGAGAGCAAGCACTGGGGCATCTGAGTACAGTACAGTGTGCGTAGACGGAGAGACACAGGAAGGTTTCTGAGGTCTGTTAATTTTGTGTAGTCTGTTTTTTTTTTCTTGATTTGGGATTTTTTTTTTTTTTTTTTTTTTTTTTTTTTGGTTTTTCGAGACAGGGTTTCTCTGTGTAGCCCTGGCTGTCCTGGAACTCACTCTGTAGACCAGGCTAGCCTCGAACAACTCTCGAACTCAGAAATCCACCTGCCTCTGCCTCCCAAGTGCTGGGATTAAAGGCGTGCGCCACCACCACCTGGCTTGATTTGGGATTTTCAAGACAGAGTATCATATAGCCCAGGCTGACCTCAAACTCACCGTGTAGCCAAGGATGACCTCCTGCAGCTTCCCACATGCCTGGGCTATAGATAGATGTCCACCTCCTTATCCAGCTCATGTTCCCATTCCTGTAGTATCGATAACATGTTTGTTTTCTTCTAAAAGTTATTTTCAGTACTTAGGTCTATATAGATCGTGGTTCAATTTGGATGTGATATTTAGGGCAAGATCACTTCATGACAGGATCTTCTCATCAGGGTGGTCCAGAATTTTGACACCTGTAGAACAGTTGTATTTGACTCAGGGCTGAGGAGGGGCAGTGTTCCTGGACATCTGCCCTCACTGATAACTGAGTTCAGGACTGTCATCTGAGGCTGTGCTGTTTTAACAGGAGTGGACACTCGGGAGCTGACTAAGAAGTTGCGGGAACAAGGGTCTCTTTTGGGGAAGCTGGTCCAGAAAGGGACAGACCCTTCAGCCTTGCCATTTGTGGACCCAAATGCCCGGCCCCTGGCACCAGAGGTCTCTATTAAGGTACAGAGGAAGCAAATAGGACATGTTTGCAGGCAGAAGACCAGTGGTTACTTTTCTGACCACAACTGGGGCAAACTCAAGGACTTCAAAGATGGGGTTTGGTGTGGGCATGTGTTAAGCTTGCTGATCACAGCTGCCAACTGTTGCTGTTTGCTCCCCAGACTCCACGGGTATTCAATGCAGGGGGTGCCCCTCGGATCTTTGCTCTAGACTGTGGCCTCAAGTATAATCAGATCCGATGTCTCTGCCAGCTTGGGGCTGAGGTTACCGTGGTACCCTGGAACCATGAATTAGACAGCCAGAGTAAGTATCTGGACCTGTGCAAATGAGCGGCTTGGGTTTGAGTGGAAGAGCCATCCCTCAGAACAACAGATAAAAGTCAGGATGGGTGCAAGAAGGAAGGCAGAGTCCAGGGATTCTGCTTCTGTGGTCCGGGGTGGGTGTGTGCTTTTATTTTACAAGTTTAACTATTGTAGCAGTGGGTGCAAGTGTGTGCCACAGCACGGCAGCTTTAAGAGGTCTCTCCTGCCATGGCTCTGGGGTTGAACTCCAGCCGCCAGGCTTGGCTTCATAGGCGGTGCCTTGTTTCTGCTGAGCATCCCGTCAGCCCTTAGGTGTCAACCTTTTCTGCCCATTTCAGAGTATGATGGTCTCTTCCTAAGTAATGGACCTGGTGATCCTGCCTCTTACCCTGGTGT